ATATCACTTTAATTTAGGTTATTTCTTAATAGATTAGTGCACGTGCGCATTTTAAACGAGTATGTGAAATGCTCCTAGGCGTTATGTGGATAAATAAACTATTATTATTATTATTATTATTATCCCTCCAATGTAGTTAGCCCCAGCTGCCCTGCCCTGCCCTCCCCTTTCCTCCCCTCCCCTCCCCCCGATGAACTATGGACAGTACTTACATTGAGTAATATACTGTCGATAATCAACTTTTAATGCTCGATCTAGACACAAACCTGTATTCCACAAGCAGACGAATTAAGTGCTCGCTTAAAAAGTCCTGTATTCGCAGGAGTGATATCACCAAGATCAATACGCCTGTCTTGTAGACGTTTAGGAATTTCTCTTATCCTCCAGAACTGATGGGCACTACTCGTCTTTACAAAATCTGGCAAGAAGTTGGTCTGCTGGAAGTGAAGCTTGTTGAGCTGACGCTTACTAAGAATCTGAAATGATATGACACTCTTCTCAAAACCAGACCCAGTGCCGCTAGTCCCCAACCCCCATATGCAACCCTAGAAACGTAACCATATTAAATTTGATTTTAATGTCCTAAATTAATGGTATTTTATGGGTGRCATAAATAGGCAGCTTGTGCTGCTATGGCACTATGTCCCAATGCTGTATAGTTTCCAGACCATTCCTTTTTTGAACGACATATGGAAAAAGGGAGGGGGGGGAGGGTGGGATTTTGTGACTCGTAAGTAAAATAAACTGTATGACCCCTTCCCAATATGAATATTTTTAACGTGTCCCCTTATTAAAAGACAGGACAATTTTTTACATAAATTTTCTATTTAGCTAATTATATTTTAGGGGACCCCCTTAAATGTCATATTTTTTTACAAGACCCCCCAAAATCCCACCAGCCCCCATGCCTATAAAAACTGAATATTCCCTAAAGCCTGTGGTCTTTGCTTAGATTCTTGACTGAATCGCAGTTTGTTTGATGTGTTGCTCATGTTCTCTCTAGCTCCCTTGTTACTAGAGTTCTCTGTACAGGGTCTCCAGCTTTTATAATCTCTGTAAAAATCAACAATTGAGTTGAGTGTTGTGTGTTATAAATAGTACAGTTTCGTATGACTGTGAAAATCTCAGTGCCATAAGCATGCCTTGATGTGAACGTGATGTTTCTAGGATTTTAGTGGACTGAATCTTTTCATGGCAATGCCATGTCATTTGCAGGATGGTGTCTGCACCGTGATCGTGCCATGTTTCGGGCATTTGATTGGATGGAGAGTAAGTTCTGGTGCGATGTGATTGAGCTGGTGTAATGTCTTGCCGTGTCATCACTGTGTTCGTTCTGTGAACTTTTCACAGTCATGCGAAAACTGTTCTAGTGAATATAGTGGAAGTGCATGTGGAGTGAACTTCACAGAAGAGCCCCATAACTGTTGTAAAATATAAGTTCACACAAGTTTATGTTTTTCGGAGTTATATCAATACAGTACCTCTGAAACTTGGGGATCAAATTTTTTTACCATCTCTGCCACAAACTGGATTGCCTGTGGGGTAAGAAGTGCCTGATACTCCTTGTGCATGTTGGGTGGTGCTTCAGAGAGCTCTACCACCCCCTGTTAAAAATAACCAAGAGAAAAAAGAAAGGAATAATAAAAAAAAATGGAATAATTAATAGAAATGAAAAAGCCTGAATTTCTTATTATTCATTTTGATTTAGCCTTAAAAACAAGAGAAGATTCCAGATAATGTGGAGTATCAGTTAGACTTGCACCAAGTAGACCTCAGCTCTCTTGTGTCCCGCTAGCAACAATATTATTCAAGCAAATCCAGAATTCATTGAGCTCAGCGAGTGGTGCGGCGAGGGCAGTGGAAGTCTAAGAATCATGCGAAAGTCTAAGAATCAGTATGTATATGGATCGAAATTTTTTGCATCAATATTGATATCGATCTCAGCAAGTTTAGGCTAATAGCCTAAACTTGATGGGATCGTACCAACCTGTTGGTACATGTTGGGATCCCTGTGTTGAAAATTAAAATTATATTTCAAAGAAAGTAATTTATATTTAGTGCTGTAGACACACTTTAGCAGGGGGGAAAACGAAAGAAAAGGCTATAAAAAATACGATAATGCAATACAATATTTTAATTTTGTTAAAAATTTATTAAATTATGAACATCATTTTAAGCTTACGTGTACCACGTGCACTAAGCTTTAATATATAAGCTTATCGTAAGGCTTGAAGCACATGTACGAGTTGGATTTGCAAAATAGAACTTTAAGAATGAGAATAAGAAGAGAATAAGAAGAGAACTAAAAAAGCTAACTTAATTAAATATAAAGAAAGTTTTGAGGAGTCTTGGACTGTCGTAAGGAAGAAAGCCAAACCGTGTACAAGACTTGGTCAACACAGCTTAAATATTATCACTTGAAAAATACTGTTAAAACTATTTTTTACGTTTAAAAGACAAAGTTCATGTAGCTGTACCTTATTTAAGACCTCTTGTAGTCCAGTGTCATGATTTTCTGGTGCAATTCTTAGTAAATGAGAAGAAATGTTGCGTATTCTTTTTGTATGTCGGTCGTCCATCTTGATTTTCTTTTTTTGTCTTGGACTTGATAATTGGGATTCCTGTGGAACTCTGAATGAGGTTTATACCACTCTTCAATCACACGCTTCAAAAGGACGGCCGATTAATATGCATTTTGTCAAATGATTAGTAAAATAGAACGCACACTCTAAATAAATGTTTTTGAACAAACATAAAAAACATACACTACTCACCTTTTCTGTTTTCACTTGAATAGCATTGACTTTCTTTTTACCGTTTGCGGTATCCATGGTAACTGTAGGCCGCTTTTTTTCTGTTTTAGCTTGTTATAGTGGCAAGAACACAAGCGATGAGTTTTCCAACGTCTTTTTCGATTCCTTGTTTGATAAAAAAAAGAGAAAAAAAGGGATGATAAGTGGAATAAATTCACAGATTCTCACAGGGTACCTCTTAAAGTATCAATCTCATAAAAGCCATACTTTTTGAGTAATTTTTCAAAATAACTGCGTCAAAGTACTTTTTCTAGTAATGTTAGACTTTTCACTATGGTTTCAATTCGAAGTACTAAAGTAAAAATTTTCCTTGTTCCGACACTCCACTTAGAAAAAGTCCGATCCAAAGAGTGAATCCAGATTGGGATTTTCCACAATTTTAGATTTTGAGACAAAAAGTAACAAATTCTAAAAGAGCAAGAGAAATGGGGATCAATGGTGTAATTTGTTTTGTTTTGGTCGTGAAGGTAATAGATTTACGAGCATCTAAAGTTTGGACCCGCAACCACTTGTACGCCTATAAATACAACACACCCACCTCCCCAAGGTACTAAGGTACTACAATTGGCCTTCCTGGAGCCAAAATTTAGCGCTTACTACCTTTACTATGCAGATTAAAAGGGAATCCTTTCTCCCCTAAATCAGACCAAACATACTAAAATCCAATGCAATGTTTGTTTTAGCCGCGCTGTGACTTTGATTCGCACGAGTATCGATAAAACACTAAGGATAATCCAAACGCGGTTTCTATATGTGGTATATGAA